TTTCTGTGTTTCGTGTCAGATGCTGTATTGTTTGGTCCTGAGTTTTTTGTGTGCCTCTTTTTTGAAGATTTTATTTATGTGAGACAGAGAGAGGGAGAGCACGTGCCTGTGTGCGGGGGTGGAAGGGCAGAGGGAGATGAAGAAGCAGACTCTGCACTGAGCACAGAGCCCGACGTGGGGCTCGATCCCATGACCCCGAGATCATGACCTGAGCTGAAACCAAGCATCACATGCTTAACTGACTGAGCCACCCAGGTGTCCCTTGTCTCTTTTTTAGGGTTTGTATTTCTCTGTGGCAACATTCCCTCTTTCCATTAACCTCAGGTATGTTTACCCTCACCTGACGGAGTGCCGTTACAGTTGCCGCCTCGAAGTGTCTGTTGGGTAATTCTGATGTCCGGGTCATCTTGGAATTGGCATGTGACGGTTTTTTCTTTGAAAATCGGTCCGATTTCCTGATTCTTTGTCTGTAGAGTCATTTTGGATTTACTGACATTTACTGATTACTGACATTTTGAGTGTTATAGTCTATATACTCTGGGTCCCATTAGAGTGTGGAGAATGTTGACGACTCTGTTTTAGCAGGCAGTCAGATCCTGGTAGGCTCAGAGCACAGACAGGGTCTGTCTTGGCTTCTGAGGATGGCGGCTCCCATCGTTGCGTGGTTTTCAAAGCCCCTGCTATACTGCTTTGGGCCTGTCTTGTACCGCTCAGCTCAGGTGAGCTTGAGAGGTGTGCGTGCTCATGCACAGAATTAGGGTTTCCCTCCTTCTGCTGCCTTCTCTCTGCGGTTCTTCCCACACGCTGTCTGACCTGCACAAGCCTCTTTTCCTGGTCCTCCGCCAGAACATGAGGTTTCTTATGGAGTGTGTGTCACTGTTCCCACCACACCACTGTGCAGGTTTGGGACTGGTGCAAAAGGAGCGCAAAAGGAAAAAAACCAGGAAACTGAAAAATTAGGAGACTCACCCCTGTTCTAACCTCTTCTCTAAGTTTTGACTCCTCCAATGGCTACCTGTTTTTGTTTACTTTTAGAGCCCTTGGGTAGTTGTTTTTTGTATTTTACCCAGGGTTTTTCATTGTAGTCGGCAGGAGAGAGAGGCTGCTTTGGCTTACACTCACCAGGCCAGAAGACCTCCCCTGGAATGTACTTTTGATCCTGGACAGTATTTTTCTACCAGCGGCTCCTGAGAGCCCTTTGTCAGTGAGTTTTGGTGTGTCAGGGACTTGTTAAGGTGTGGGTTCCTCAGAACTCTGTGAAAAACTCTGGGTGCCTTAGAACTATCATGAATCTCTTCTCCCTCTTCTGTTATAAAAAACAGAAGCCCATTTCCAGCTGACTTGAAAACACTTACTGGCTTCTGACCAGGAGGGCAGAAGTGTCACCAGGAATCCTTCCTTTTCAGGTTTTGGTATTGCTTCCTGGCACTGAGTTTTGTCTCAGGCAGGCCTCTCTGGGGTGACCCACTGTGGCCTCCATCCTCCCAGTTTAGCAACCCCAGAGGATAGACAGCCGCTTTCTTTGATGGTTCTAGCACACATCCTAAAGCTCTCACTGGCCCAGCCAGAGTCTTGTGTTCACCTCTGAACCAGTCCCCAAGGCCAGGGTGTGGAGTCTGGTGACTGACAGCCTGCGTCCTGTGTCCCGCCTACAGCCAGATGGAGGGGGGGGGGGCGGGCGCTGTCAGCCCCACCTGAACCTCAGGCACTGAGGAGACAGTATCTGAAGTGTGTGTTGTCTTTTCCAGGGAGATGGCACCCCTGAGGGGTTAAAAATAGCTTCAGTTATTATAATGGCTTAACAGATTGACAGTTTATCTGTGGGATTATCATTTCATGGGGGCAGGTAATGAGGAAGAAAATGTCTAAAAAGGCTTCTGAGGGGACAGTACTGGATGAAGGTGAAGCAAGGCTGCCCCTCTGAGGGAAAGGGAGGTGCTGCCATCAGAAGGGGGTTGGACGGCAAGTAGCAAAAGCCGCACCTCTAGCACTGGGGGAGTCCAAAGCCAGAGCCAGCAGCAGACAGGAGTAGGCCCGTCGGGACCCCTGTCAGAGGGGCTTGGTGGAGGGTGCGGTTGGGGGCCAGTGTCTAGAAAGCTGAACCTCACCTTTTTCTTCCTGACCCAGGAGTTCAGGGGTTGAAGATTTATTTTCTAGGAAATGTGAGTAGGGAGCCTGACCCTGCTACTCTCTGCTGTTTCTGGTGCAGGTAAAGAACGAGGTAGAGAAGCTCCCCAGGCAACAGCGGAAGGAGAGCATGAAGCAGAAGATGGAGGAGCATGCGCAGAAGAAGCAGCTTCTCGTGAGTCCTTGCCCCTTAGTCGGGGACCAGAGGGGTTGGAGAGTCCCAGGTTTGAGACCCTCAATGATGAAGTTCCCCCTCTGTCTATGCCCGTGCCTTGCCCCTTGCATACCCATCTCTCATTCTGAGTGCTTAAATCCAGCCTATCCTTGTTAGCACCTCCTCCATGCAGCCTTCCTTGACTGCTCTCACTCCAGCTAGGAGTAAGCTCCCATTTCTGGACATTCCAGCCCTTTACATCCCCCTCTTCCAAAGCGTTTCATGCCTCCTGCCTTGTTTTAGGGTTGTATGTATGTCCTACCTCCTTGAATAACCCAGTACATCCACCAGCCCACTTAGCATCTTTTGGAATCTCATACATCAAACCCACAATCTCCCGGACCTGCCTGTTCTTGGATTCCGAGGGGGCACTGCCTTCCATCTTGCTGTCAGGACAGAAACCTTGTTATTCCTGATACCTCCTTTTCCTCCAACCCTTTATCACTTCCTGAAAGCATGGACTTTTTTTTTTTTTTTTTTTTTAAAGCTCCAGACTGTCTCTGGGTCTATCCACTTTGTCTGCATCTCTGTGACTTCTGGCCATGGTCATCTTTTGCCTGAACTGCTGCAGTAGCCTCCCAGCTAGTCTCCCTGCTTCCTCTCTTGCTTTCATACAGTTTTCTCTCCCACCAGCCAGTGCAGTCAACACAGATTCCAAATCTGATCATGTCACCCTCCCCCTAAAGTCTTGTGTCCTGAAAACCTTCCATGGCTCCTACTTTGTTCATAAGATAGGCTAACCTCCTTATGTGCTTAAAAAGCCCCGTGGGTCTAGTCCAGCCAGCCTCTCCCAGCTTGACTCAGTCCCCTCTGCCCCAGCCTCACTAGCCTTCTTTGTAGCCCTTGTCAGACCATGCGCTCATTTTTCTCCCACTATGGAGCCTGTATATTTTGCTTCCTCTGCCCCCAAACGTACACTTGAAAATGCTTTGTATACTATCTGGTGTAGCATTCATGGCTTACCAGGGTAGGTGGTGTTTGGTTTTCCTTTGCAGAGGAAGAAACTAAGGCTCAGGGAGGTGACTCTCCGGAGTTAGCAATATGGGGCACGGCCCCAAACTCAGTCTGTCTCCAGACTTCGTGTTTTCTCCAGGACACCATCATTCTGTCCTATGACCTGTCCCTTGATGCTATCATCAGAAAAAGAATTCCGGGCTGGGGAGGGTGGGGGAGATGGCGCCCATCCCCACACAGGGAGAGTAGATTGGCTCTTTAAGGAGGCCATTTTGGTAGTGGTATCAAGAGCCTCAAAAATGTGCACATTGTTGGCCTGGGTTTTCTGTTTCTAGAGACTAATCCTGAGGATAAATCATTGCAGAGGTTTACAAACAGCTCCCAGAGGCTGAAGAGCAGCACCATCTAAAATAGAGACAACCTGGAAACAACCCATTAAGTATTGGGTGAATAAGCTAGGGTACACCTGGGCCATGAAGTATTTTCAGCTATTAAAACTCATTTGATAGAGGATTACATTAGGACATGGAAAGGTATTTTTCATTTTTTAAAAATTACAGTTGAAAACAGACATAACAGAATTTAGCATCTAAAGCATTTTTAGCATCCAGTTCAGTGGTATTAAGTACATCCACCCCATCCTGCCAACAATCCTCACCACCCCTCGCCAGAACCCTTTATCTGGCGAAACTGAAACTACCAAAGAAGTAGTAACACCCCATGATACCCCTCCCCCAGTCCCTGGCAACCACCGTTCTACTTTCTTCCTCCACAAATCTGACCTCCTAAATGTGGGAACATATGATATTTGTTCTTTTGTGTCTGCTTTACTTCAGTTTAGCAGGCCCTTGAGAGTCACCCATGCTGTAGCACACATAAGAATCTCCCTCCTTTTTCAGGGCCGAGTAATGTTCCATGGTCTATCTATACTACATTTTATTAATGCGCCCTTCTGTCTGTGGATAGTTGTTTCCATCCCATAGCTATGAATGATGCTGTTACGAACATGGGTATACAAATCTCTAAGTCCTTTTGCAGAAACATGTGTGTATAGATAAACCCAAACCAGCTGCTACTCCTGGGTGATATGATTCCTGGGGATTTTTGTTTCTGCCTATGTGTTCCCTAAATTTTTTAATTTTAATTTTTTAACTCTTTATGATGGCAAATTAAAAACATAGGCAGAAAGAGGTGCAACAGGAACCCCCTCATTACCTGATCTCAGGAATTAGGAACTCATGTCCCCTTACTCCCTCACCCTTCTGTGTTATTTTGAATCAAACCCCACATATCCTATCATTTCACCTGTAAAAGTCTCAGTATGTATCTTTAAAAAATAAATCCACAATACTATAAATGTACCTAAAACTTTAAATATTTTACAATAATTACTGACATATTTGCATTTGAATCATTATTTACATTTCCAATTGTCTCATTAATTCTTCTGTTTTACAATTTGTTTGAATCAGGGTCCACATAAAGTGCACATGCCACAACTGATTGACGTGTCTCTAAGTCTCAAATTTCCACATGTTTTCTTCGCTGCTCGTGATGACCTTTCTTCTGTAATAGCAGTAGAGGGCGAGATGCTGAAGCTAGCGCTAAAGGTCTGTTCTCTTTCCCACACAGGACCGGGACTTCCTGGCCAAGCAGAAGGAGGACTTGGAGCTGGCTATGAAGAAGATCACTGCTGACAACAGGCGGGAGATCTGTGACAAAGAGCGCGAGTGTCTCACTAAGAAGCAGGAACTCCTTCGAGGTGGGTGCCAGAGAGTGGGCTCTGCTAAGAACTGCAAGGTGCTTCTCCACCCTAAAAAGACAAGACATTCCTTCAGGGTGAAATGTGGGGACAGCCCCCCCTGAAGTTGGGGCTGAGGCACAGAAACCCAATTGTCACCAACACTATTTGACATTATTCCTGATGTCGAGGAAGGTAGAAAGAAAGAAAGCGATGGAGAGCGGGAAGAAATTGTAATAGGTCCACTGGGTGAACGGTGTGCCGGGGGTCAGACAGTATTGAGCCCCGTATGAGAACTATCGTGTATCGAGCGACTGCTTGGCCAGGCTGTGTGCCAGTCCTCATGGCTCGGTCTCCTTGAATCTTCACCTTAACGCAACAAGGTGTTCTTGTAGACGAGGAAACGGAGGCTTGCGGAGTGACTGTGCTGTGGCTGGGGTTGCTCTGCTAATGCATGGTAGAGTGGGCCTTGACCACGGATCTCCTCTCGAAGCTGGGCTCCTAACCACCCCGACACCCTGACAGGTTTGCATGCCGGCAGATCCCTCACAGCCCAGGACCTTCTGGAGACCCTAGTGTAGGCCACTCCCAGAGGGACGGCTTCTGTATCTGGATGGGGTCACTTGGCAGGGTGGGGTCCTGGGATAGAGCTCTGAAGGGCAGCTCGGCTTTGGGTCTTTCTACTGCCCGGGCTTTATCTCATCTAGTTTGGTGTGGTGTTGTGGGGTGTGCAAAGCAAGTGGGCTCTCAGTGGCCAAAAATCTGTTGTTTGAGCTGCATGTATAACAGTTGGATGGTGAAAATTTGAGTGTGGCGCCTGTGGGCTTTTGAGCCAACAGAGCAGCCTGTTGTGAAGAAGTAAACAACATAGGGCCAAGGTTCCCGCACTGTCTCTTGCTTACTGGCACAGCAAAGCGCTGTGATGGCTCATGCAGCTGAGCAGTGTGCACCCCTCAGTACTTGGGGACAGGGCTGCGAAATGGGGCCCCTGATGTTCTGAGGAGCCACAGATGTTGCCCTCATTTTCTTTTTATGTCCCACGATATCGAGAAGACCCACTCTCCTTAGGGGACAGTTGTTCTGATTTTGGTCAGGAAGCCAAATCACCGTTCCGATTACCGTGGGCAGCTCCGGTGTTCACAGAACAGGAATGCAGTGACATAAACTGACTATTCTTCGTGGGCTGAGCGCAGCCCGCTATGTGTCTTGCGGGGCCTTAGGTCCTCCTCTGACATCGGCGCCCTGCCTGTGGCTGAGCAGAGGATCTGATCATAGACTTCCAGTGATAAAATGCCAGATACTGCTGTCTCAATAATGTTTATATAAAGGACGTGCAGTGGCCAAGGAGGGTGTACCACATTTTCCAAAGGACAAAATAGCAAAAGAGAGCTGTCCTGGCTACTTCATGGAGCTCCATGAGCCCTTCCCACCTGCCCGTTAAGAAACACTGAACATAAATATGTCTCCCGAGAACACTTCTCCCTCTGTGGTGTGGTTGTACGCATTTGGCAGAAGCAGGAGTGGAGGCCTGGAGAAGGTTTGTTACCTGTCCCAAATTCTAGTGAATGAGAGGGGCTCCAGCCTAGGTCTCTGGTTTCTGTGGCTTCTGACTCTGGTCACTTCCTGGTGTACTGCTCTCCTGGCCGAGTGGGGCTCTGGCCATAAGCGTCTCATCAGGCCTCCTCCTTCACAGACCGGGAGGCCGCCCTATGGGAAATGGAGGAGCATCACCTGCAGGAGAGGCACCAACTGGTGAAGCAGCAGCTCAAAGACCAGTACTTTCTCCAGCGGCATGAGCTGGTGCGCAAGCATGAGAAGGTGAGGTCCCTGGCTGGGTGGGCCACCAAGGCTGCCACCAAAAGGACTGGGTAGAGCTGTGAGGCCATGCCGTGACAGGGCGTCACTTGAGTATGATCTGTGCTCCCAAGAGGAGCCAGGTGTTGGTTGCAGTGGGGCCCCCGGAGGTTCTTGGGGGACGTCCTGCCTCAGGTGGAGGCGCCAGGAATAAGGAAAACCATGTAGGGAAGCAGATGGCAGCTTCCTCACGGACTCCTTAGGGTGTGTCTTTCACTTTTTTCCCTTCTCCCTCATCTTTCCATTTCCCCCTTACGCTCTCTTTTGCATGCATTCCCTCAGAATGCTTTTAGTCGCAACTTAAACACCACTTCTGCCAGGAAGCCTTCCTTAACCCCCTCCGACCAGGCAAGGGCCCCTGTTCTGTGAGGCCAGAGCGCGCTCTACTTCTGTGTAATTGTCTTTCTTGGTTTGATCCCCTTAGTGGGAACAGAGACAGACAAACCAAGCTATGGATGTACAGTCAGTGGGTAATTACAATTCCTAATCTAAATGCAATGAGGGCGGTCAACACAGGGCTATGGCAGCTCTAATAAGGGTGCCCAACCTGGCTAGGAAGTCAGGGGAAGCTCCCTGGAGGAGGTGACAGCCATGCCAAGTTTTGAAATACAAACAGGTGTTAGGTGAAGGAAAAACTCAAATTTAATAAGGCTTTTAATTGACACCTGCCATCAAGAATGATGAACCATCCCTCTCTGTGTACATTTTGCTCTGTGGTATTAGCTTTAATGGCATGTGACCACAGATCATATGAGAAGGCATTTAGAAGGTAAAAATCCCAAACATTTACAAAAAGCAACATTTTCTGTTCTCGCTTTAAAAAATTTAACAGTAGAAGCAAAACGATACCAGCCTTGCTCTGCCGGGCACTTGGGACCACGTGGATCCTGTACTCTGGAGTAGAGTGTGGCAGCCTTGGGCCTCTCCTTGCACACCCCCCTGCCCCCTGCCCCCGGGGCCCAAAGCACATGTGACCGTGCACTTGGCCCCGGCCGGCTGTCCCCTCAGGAGCGGGAGCAGATGCAGCGCTACAATCAGCGCATGGTGGAACAGCTGAAGGTGCGGCAGCAGCAGGAAAAAGCGCGGCTGCCCAAGATTCAGAGGAGCGAGGGCAAGACGCGCATGGCCATGTACAAGAAGAGCCTCCACATCAACGGCGCGGGCAGCGCCTCGGAGCAGCGCGAGAAGATCAAGCAGGTGGGGCTCTGTGGGTGTGCCGGAGCTGGGGGCCTGCACCTTATGCGGCTGGGAGGGATGGAAGAGAGAGCTGCGGGGTGGGGGCGTAGAGGAGGCGTGCCCGTCACCCCTCACCAGCTGCTCCGCTGGACCGTTCCTTCTCAGATGCTGGTGCTTCCATCCCGCGGCTCCCTCCGCCGGTAAACCCCTTCCTCTCGCGCCTACCGAGACCCCACTGGTGCGTCATCCGTGTGGCTTGGGGACATGGGGTCAGTGGCCCTGGGCTCCTCTGATTCCTGTGTCGTGGCCATGTCACAACAATGCAGTGTCCCGTCCCCACCAGCCTGGGTCTCCGCTCAGGAGGAGGACAGAGCCTGAACGGTGTAGGGCCCTTGGGTTGTGCACAAAGCAGTCCCTCTGACAGGGCGCTCTAGAACAGATGGTGGAGGTGCCCCCCAGCCGGTGGCCCGGCCAGGCCTGTGGCCCTCTGAGGCACTCACTCTCTCTGTGGCAGTTCTCGCAGCAAGAGGAGAAGAGGCAGAAGTCGGAGCGGCTGCAGCAGCAGCAAAAACACGAGAACCAGATGCGGGACATGATGGCACAGTGTGAGAGCAACATGAGCGAGCTGCAGCAGCTGCAGGTACCGCCCTCCCTGCCCCCTCTTCCTGGACTGCCTCAGCTTCCCTCAAAGAAGTCCTCTCTCAGGGACCAAAAACTACAAACAGGGAAGGAGTCTCCTGAGAGGAGCCGGGGCTAAAACAATTTCCATCCTGCTGTGTAATGTCGGCCAAATCCCATCACCTCCCAGGCTCTAGTTCCTGCCTCCACAGACTGGGTATGGGCTGGGAGAGAGAATTCCTATTTTGTAGGATGGGGTGAGGCTTTGTAAATGAGATGACTGAACTGAAAGTGCTTTGCCTGGGGCCTGGCGGTTGCATGCTGCTGGGTGTCTTCGGACACAGTGTCCCGATTATCCTAACGCCGAAACCAGGCATTGCAAGGAAGACCGCAAGCCACTCCCTCTCATAAACACAGATGCACAAATCCTCAACAAAATATTAGCAAATTGCGACAAATCTAAAAAGAATCTAAGTGGGCTTTATTCCAGGCTGGTTCAACGTTCAAAAATTGATGTAATCCATAACATCAACAGGCTAAAGAAAAGGCACATGATCATACAGAAAAAGCATCTGACAAAACCCAACACTCATTCATGGTAACACTCTTAGTAAACTAGGAATAAAGGGGAACTTCCTCAACTTGATAAAGAACACACACAAAAACCTACAGCTCAGATCGTCCTTAATGGCAAGAGGCTCAGGGAAGGGGATCCTGGTGTTGCCAACCTCCTGGTGACCCCTTTCCCCAGGGAGATCCTGAACTCTTCAAGATTCCTGACTCCTGAGCTTGCCCCATGCCTGAGGGGCGCCACCTGAGGAGCTGGTACTGGGAGCCCCCTTGTGGTAGAGCCAGGCATTGCCATACCTGAGGGATGGGCAGGCTCAAACCTCTGATTTCAGAAAATTGCTCAGGCTGTTAGACCCATCTGGCAATTTCTGGAGAGGCAGAGAGGCGTGGAGAAAACATGACAGGCATTGAAGCCTGTCAGGTAGGGACCTTGCCACGTGTTGCTCTGTGAAATTTAGCCAAACCCCTCACCTTCTGCATTTGTTTTCCCATCCCTGCCTCATGGAGTTACTGGAAGGATTAACTGAGAGAACCCATACGGAATCCCAGGGGCCCAGCTCCTGGCAGGTCAAAGGTACTCTATACTTCTAGGAGTAGTTTCTAACTAAACATTTCTAAACCCTCAGAAGCCAGAGCATGAAACCCCAAACGAAAAATCCCCCAATGGGTTTCACTCTTCCAGCTCAATAGGGTTGGTGTATCTGGATGAAAGTGCTTTCCCCTTGCTTTAGATACTCTGTGAGGAATCAACAGGGACTTGTATCTTTTGCTTGTGAGAAATTCTAAGTAACTTTTGTGAGGCAGATAACTTACCTAAGAGAACAGTAAAGTTGGGAGTGCGTCAGTCAGGTCCATGTCCTCGTCCTTACCACAAATTTCTTCTGAGGAAATGACATAAGATACAGAAAATTACATATATAGTTTATCTTAGCTCTGGCTGCCATAACAAAATACCAGTCTGGGTGGCCTAAACAGGTTTATTTTCTCACAGCCTGGAAGTCTAAAATCAGCTTCCGGGTGTGGTTGGGTTCAGCCTCTCTTTCTGGCTTGCAGATGGCCTGCTTCTTGCTGTGTCCTCACATGTCACAGAGAAGGAGAAGTCACCTCTCTAGTCTCTTCTAAAGACACTAATCCCATCATGAGGGCCCCAGCCCTAGGATCTCAGCTAAACTTAATTTTTCCCTAAAGGCCCACCTCCAAATAGCATCATAGTGGGGATTAGGGCTTCAACATATGAATTTTGGGGAGACACAATTCAGTCCAAAGCACGCAATACAATGCTCTTTAAAAGAGTGAAAATTAGGGCGCCTGGGTGGCTCAGTGGGTTAAGCCGCTGCCTTCGGCTCAGGTCATGATCTCAGGGTCCTGGGATCGAGTCCCGCATCGGGCTCTCTGCTCAGCAGGGAGCCTGCTTCCCTTCCTCTCTCTCTGCCTGCCTCTCTGCCTACTTGTGATTCTGTCTGTCAAATAAATAAATAAAATCTAAAAAAAAAAAAAAAAAAAAGAGTGAAAATTAAGGGGCGCCTGGGTGGCTCAGTGGGTTAAAGCCTCTGCCTTCACTCAGGTCATGATCCCAGGGTTCTGGGATCGAGCCCCACATCAGGTTCTCTGCTCAGCAGGGAGCCTGCTCCGCACAACCCCCACCCCGCGCGCCTGCCTCTCTGCCTACTTGTGATCTCTATCAAATGAATAAATCTTTAAAAAAATAAAAAATAAAAGAATGAAAATTAAGAGCAACCTAATTGACCAGATGTAGGGGAGTGTTTAAATTTGATGAATCCACACTGGGATATTGTGTAGGCACTGAAAATGATTAAGAAAAATGTTAATTCTTTGTAGAAATATTTACATTGTAACGTTAAGGGTTGGGGGAAGCAGGTGTCAGAAATGTATAATACAGGGTGAGCTGAACAACATCTAAATTTTTGCAGTGGGTGCCTCTAGCGGTGGGATTAGGGGTCTTATTTATTGTTAATAGTTGTATAAAAATGACATAAATGTTCATGTTGAAGAATTCAAACAATGCAAAAAAGCACCAAGAAGAAAGATGCAAATTACTGTAGCTCCCACCACATAATAAGAGCTATTACCACGAATATTCTGAAACATTCCTCCAGGCGTTTCTTGGTATCTGTGTATTAATAGGTATAGAGTTTCATATAAATTTTATAATCAAGTAGAAGAAGAAAGAAGTGAATAGTGCTGATGTCATCATGTCTATAGCATGAAGTCTGTTTTAGCCCTCTGCACCTCTGCCTTCTGAGTTTCTTACCTGTTCTGCCTGGAATTTGTTCCAGAATGAAAAGTGTCACCTCCTGGTAGAACATGAAACCCAGAAGCTGAAGGCCCTAGATGAGAGCCATAACCAGAACTTGAAGGAATGGCGGGACAAGCTTCGGCCACGCAAAAAGGTAACCATGTCTGGGCTTGTGGGCTCGGTGGTAGGCTCTTCTCCATGCTGAGGCACAGGTGTCTGCCTACACTGTGAATACAGATATAAATAAGATACAGATTTATAGATTTACTTGAAGAAATTGGCTCCTAGGTTTGTGGATGGCTGGTAAGTCTGAAATCTGCAGGGCAGGTTGGAGACTCAGGGAAGAGCTGATGTTGCAGTTGCGAGTCCTTGGACAGTCTGCAAGCAGAATTCCTTTTTCCTTAGGGGCACCTCAGTTGTGAGGCCTTTGACTGTTTGGATGAGGCCCACCCACATTTGGGAGGGTAATCTGCTTTACTCAGAGTCTACAGAGTTAAATATTAATCACATCTAAAAGTTCCTTAACAATGACATCTCCCTGGGGGTTTGACCAAACAACTGGGTGCCGTGTCCTGCAAGGTTGACACATAAAATTAACCATCACAGGGCCTCAGTGTGGTCAGTTATAAAGTGGATGTGGATATTGTACAGTGTGATGAAGTCCACAGCCAGCCCCTAGTACAGGCCAAGGACATACTTCCTTCCTTCCACTCCCAACCTCTCTGAGGAGAGAGCTGCCCTAACTGCCCTTGGTCAGGTTTCCAGAAGCCCTGAGGTTTGTTCTGCCGTCACGCATCTGCTCTGCTTGTTCTAACTGTGGTCTGGACAAGAGGCAGCTGCCTACCTCAGCTGCCTGATGGCCCTGGAAGTCCTTGAAGGGAGGCTTCCCTACCTGTGCTAATGGAGCTTCTGTCTGGAAGCTGGCCCCGGTCCCAGACCTTCCTCTCAGCAGGCCCATGTTCATCATTTTCTGTAGTCACAGCCTGTTGGGACTTTTGATACTTGACAACTCAAATCAATAATGCTCCTGCTAACATACGTTGACTCTGGTATCAGGAAATAAATGTTCATCTGGTTCTCTTACCTGGGTGTTCTATACCCTTGGCACGTCCTGAGAGAGAGTTTGAAAATGAATGATCACGTTGCCTCTGACAAATGCCTCATATTTTCAGGGCACCTGGGTTTAGGGGAGGCACCAAAGTGTATGTTTGGACAGCTGTACTGGATTTTGCTTGTGGGCCTGCTATTATGCAGAATTCTTTTTTAATTTTATTTTTTAAGATTTTATTAGAGAGAGAGGTGGGGGAGACCCCAAGCAGGGCGGAGGGGCAGAGGAAGAGGGAAAAGCGAGCTTCCCGCTGAGCAGGGAACCTGATGCAGGACTTGATCCTAGGACTTTGGGATCATGACCTCAGCTGAAGGCAGACACTTAACCAACTGAGACACCCAGGCATCCTATTTTATAGAATTCTTTGTAGAACTGTCTGTCATTAGCTACCTGCGTTACTGCTGGAACATGGAACCAGAGTGATATGATTTTTTATACTCTTGCATTATAATTTATAGTCTTGAGCTGTACAGGGGCAGGGGAGATGACTGTACACTATACAATAATTTTAGAGAAATTAAGACTGCTTTCAAGTAAGTACAGAATATCTGGTAGCATCAATAAAGTGTTGCTTGGGTGACAGTTAACACAGAATATGGCCTCAGACAAGTCTTCCCTTCCCAATCTTGCTTTTTAGGGGTATAAAATGTAGATAACATTTCTTCCCTTAAAGCGAGTGTTAGTAAACTATTGTCCATGGGCCAAATCTGGCCTACCATCTGTATTTGTAGATAAAGTTTTATTGGAACACAGCCAAGCTCATTCATTTCCATATTGTCTCTGGCTGATTTTGTACTACAACGGCAGCTGAGTATTTGTGACAGAAACCTCACAGCCTGTAAAGTGGAAAATATTTATAATCTGGCCCTTTACAGCAAAAGGATTACAGATTCCTGCCTCAGGTTATATAGATGAATGTATGGGGTAGCAGAGGAGAGCAGTGATTCAGAGCACAGGGTTTGGAGTGAGAAAGGCATGAAGTAAAGTCCTGGCTCCCCTATTACTCTCTGTGAAACCCTGGGCAAGTTACTAAACCTCTCTGCTCAGGAAGTGGTAGCTTTGATAATTAAATTGTTATTCCTATAGCACAGATCACAAACTGAAACTGGCTTACAGGTATTAGGTTTGGCCAATATATAGAAATTTAAAAATTTTTTGAAAGTTGCCAACCTTGGGGCGCCTGGGTGGCTCAGTTGCTTGAGCGTCTGCCTTCAGCTTGGTTCATGATCCCAGGGTCCTGGGATCAACCCTTACATTGGGCTCCCTGCTCAGCAGGAGCCTACTTCTCCATCTTCCTCTATCTGCCGCTCTCTCTCGTGCTGGTGTGGTCTCTCTCAAATAAATAAAATAAACAAAAAAAAGGAAAGTTGCCAACCTTTAAATTAAGTAAAGGTATACCTGTTTTACTGTACTTCACAAACAATTGTGTCCCCCCTACAAAACTAATGGTTTGTGGCAATCCCATGGTGAGTATATCCACCAGTGTCATTTTTCCAATAGAATTTGCTTACTTTATGTCTCTGTGTCACATTTTCATAATTCTTGCAACATTTTAAACTTTTCATTATTATTATGGTGATCCGTGATCTTTGATGTTATTATCATACTTGTTTTGGGGTGCCATGAAACTTGCCACAAAAGATGGTGAACTTCAAAACAAGTCTCAATAAATTTAAGAAGACTGAAATGATATCATGCATCTTTTCCAACCACAACAGTATGAGACTGGAAATTAATCACAAAAAAAAACTGAAAAAACATGAAGTTGTGAAAACTGGACACCATATTACTGAACAAGTAATAGGTAAACGAAGAAATGAAAGAGGAAAAAATGGACACAAATGAAAATGAAAACACACTGGCTCAAAATCTTTGGAGTTCTAAGAGGAAAATATATAGTGATACTGGCTAATCTCAAGAAACAAAAAAAATCTCACATAAACAATCTAAAAGAGCTAGAAAAAGAACAAAGCCTAAGGTTAAGAGAAGATAGGAAACAATAGCCATTAGAGCTTTAAATGAAATTGAGAATAACAAATCGACAGAAAAAAAAAATCAATGAAAACTAAGAGCCACTTCTTTGAAGAGTTAAACAGAATGGATAAACTTTTAGCCAGTGTCATCAAGAAAAAAAGAGAAAGGACCCAAATAAATAAAATCAGAAATGAAAGAGAACATCCAGCACCCCAGAAATAGAAAGGATTACATGAGAATAGTACAAAACATTAAATGCCAACAAACTGGACAAGCTAGAAGAAGTGGATAAATTCCTAGAAACAATCTTCTAAAACTGAATCAGGAAGAATTAGAAAAGCTGAACAGACCAATTACTGGGAATGAAATGGAATTGGTATGCAAAAAGCTACCAACAACAACAACAACAACAACAACAAAAACCCAGGGCCAGAGGGATTCACAGTGAATTCTACCACACATTTAAAGAAGACATTATTTTCCTCAATCTATTCCAAAAAATGGAAGAGCAAAGAAAGCTTCCAAGTACACTCTAGGAGGCCAGAATTAATCCTGATAGTAAAACAAAGACAATCCAAAAAAAGAAAACCACAGGCCATATTCCTGATGAACAACAGATGACAAAATTCTGAACAAAGTATTAGCAAACCCACACTCAACAATACATTAAAAAGATCAGTCAACATGATACGTATCAACAAAATGAAGGATAAAAGTCATATGATGATCTCAGCAGATGCAGAAAAAGCTTTGACAAAATCCAGCATCTGTTTGTGATAAAAACTCTCAACAGAGTGGGTTTAGAGGGAACATATCTCAACATAACAAAGGTCCTATATGAAAACGCCACCGCTTAACATCATCCTTGGTGGTAAAAAACTGAGAATTTTCCCCCCTAAGATTAGGAATAAGACAAGGAGAATGTGCCCACTTTCACAACTTTTATTCAGCATAGTAGTGAGAATCGTAGCCACAGCAATGGACTTAAAAAAGATTAAATACTTCCTTACCAATTTGGATGCCTTTTAACTGTTACTATTTGCAAAAGACATAATACTATCCATAGAAAACCCTAAAGACTCCACCAAAAAACTATATTACAAGTACTAAATCAATTCAGTAAAGCTGCAGGACACAAAATTAATACACAGAAATCAGTTGTACTTTTATGTACTAATAACACAGTAGCAGAAAGATAAATTAAGAAAGCAATTCCAGGGCGCCTGGGTGACTCAGTGGGTTAAAGCCTCTGCCTTCGGCTCAGGTCGTGGTCCCAGAGTCCTGGGATCGAGCCCCGCATTGGGCTCTCTGCTGAGCAGGGAGCCTGCTTCCCCCCTCTCTCTGCCTGCCTCTCTGCCTACATGTGATCTCCGTCTATCAAATAAATAAAATCTTTAAAAAAAAAAAAAGCAATTCCATTTATAACTGAACCACATTGAATAAATACCTAGGGATGAACCAAACCATAAGACATTAATGAAAGAAATTGAAGATAACAAAAACAAATGGAAAGATATTCCACGCTCATGGATTGGAAGAATTAACACTGTTAAAGTGTCCGTATTGCTCAAAGCAATCTACAGATTCAGTGCAGTCCCTATCAAAATACCAACAGTATTCTTCACAGAATTAGAATGATACTAAAATTTGTATGGAACCACAAAAGACCCCAAATAGCCAAAGAAATCTTGAAAAACAACAAAACTGGAGGTATCAGAATGTCACATTTCAACATACACTACAAAGCTGGAATAACCAAAACAGTATGGTACTGACATAAAAACACACACACAGATCACTGGAACATAATAAAACCCAGAAGTAATCCCACACTTACATGGTCATTAATCTATGACAAAGGAGGCAAGAATATACAATGGGGAAAAGACTCTCTTTAATAAATGGTGTTGGGAAAACTGGACAGCCATACAAAAGAATGAAAATGAACCACTTTCTTACAATACATAAAAATAAACTCAAAGTGGATTAAAGTCCTAAATGTGAGACCTTGAAATCATAAAAATCCTAGAAGCTACTAGCAGAGGCAATAATTTCTCTAACACAGGCTGTAGCAGCATTTTTTTTTTTTTTAGGTATCTCTCCTAAGGCAAGGGAAACAAAAGCAAAAATAAACTATC